GATTGCACACACAAAAAGCACGATATAACTGCGAAATCAATGTGCTCATAGCAAAAACCTTTTTCAACAACACAAAAGACAACTGTATCCATGGACTTCTCCAGTTGAATACAGACATGAAATTGACTACATCTATGGGAAGAGAAGCTGAAGAAAGGCACTCAGCAGCAAAAACCAGGACAGAGGCTGACTGTGGAACAGACGCCGATTGCTCATATGTAAAGCTGAAGAAAATTCAAAGTTCAAGAAACAAAGTATGACCTTTTAGTCCCAACCGAATTTTGAGAACATCTCAAAAACAGATTTGATGCCTTGAACAGACGGAAGATGTGATGAGCTGTGGGAGGACATTAAGACCATCATTCACGAAGAAAGCAAAAAGTCATTAAAGATCGGAAAGAAAAGATCAAAATGGATGTGAGAAGAGACCCTAAAACTTGCTCTTAATCATAGTATAAATCAAATGGAAGAAATTAGGAAGTCAAAGAGCTGGATAGGAAATACCAAAGGGCTGCTAAAGACAACAAAAATACGCAAGGGGCAGCCCTAGACTTAGAAAACCCGAAGAACAAGCTCGCCCTATCTGAAAGGATTCACACTAGTTCTGAGTGTTTTCTATTGAGGTTTCTGTGTCTTACTTGATTGTTTTTCACTGTTCTCCAACACAAGGGATCCCATCAGATACACCTCCTTTGTTTGCTAAGATTGCAAACATCCTCAAAACCTCGTAACTCATTTCTGCATTGACAGTGCCTGGCACAGAACTCAAATTCATTTTGCACAGAAAAATAAAATGCCTGCTTTTATTCTGAAAACTGCTGTGGGATCCTTCTGTGAAGGTCTTTAAACTGAAAGGATAGGTAAATCTAGAGTAATAGTAGCTGGATTAATGGGGAGCTAATGAGTACAAGAAAGAAAAGAATGTTTTACAACTGATGGTGATGATTGTACAACCCTTCTTGTGGATTGAACTATTATATATCTGGATTATCTGCCAATAAAACTTTAAAGAATTACTTCTAGCCAGTCATATTCAGGGATTGGAAGCACAGGGTGCGGTGCCCCAAGAGGATCTCTTCGAGACAGATAAACCTATGGAGCTATGCATACCTTAACTGTCAGGTCCGGTCTAACAAATGTCAGGTGTGAATGAATCGGCACAAAGTAGCTTTTAAAATCAATTAAAATGGTTTTACACACCAATCCTAACAATAAATCACTACTTCTCAGTTTGTCTTACTGTGGTGGCCTGTGTGTACACTGAAGTTATGCCACCAGTTTTTCCAAGTATGAGCAGGTTGACCAGATTTCAGCAGAGGATCCGGGTAAAAAACATGCTAGAAAAGATTAGCCAATGAAAAACTCATGAATAGCAGTGGACCGTTGTCTGACATAGTGCCAGAAGATGAACCCGACTGGAAAGCATTCAAAACACGGAGAAGAGCGGCATCCTTGAAGCAGTCAAACTTAATGAGATGGATGAAGCTAAACTTTCAGACCCATCGTGGGACGGTGGGACACAAATTAAGAAACAGCTGCAAACATCAATTCTTGGTAGATCAGTGAAAACCAAAGACTTTCAACAAGATGGATTGACACAGCTGCAACATAAATTAGAAGATACTGCATGCCCAAGCAGTTTCCTTCTGCTGGACACTGGGTCACTATCCATCAGAAATGATTTAATGGCACCTAAGAACATATATAATCCTTTTACAATACCAAGGTAATTTTTGTCACATATTCTTTGAAGTATTAATCGGGGGATGTAAACTCATTGCGAATTCACTAGAGTAAAAGTGTACACCCTAGGGTTTTCATTGGCTGGTTTTTAAAAAAACAAACTAGAGGGCCAGGTCTCTCTTCTGAGGCATCTCTGAGTAGACACAGCCTCCAATCTGTTGGGTAGCAACCAAGCAGATTAACTTCTGCATCACCTAAGGACGTTGCAAATATTATTGGCCTTAATTTTTCTTCATGCTCTTTTCTAATTTACTAATTCACTTCTATCCAGGAAGACTTTACTGTTCTCCAACACAAGGGATCCCATCAGATACACCTTTGTTTGCTAAGACTGCAAACATCCTCAAAACCTTATAACTCATTTCTGCATTGACAGTGCCTGGCACAGAACTCAAATTCATTTTGCATAGAAAAAAAAAAAAAGCCTGCTTTTATTCTGAAAACTGTTGAGGGATCCTTCTGTGAAGGTCATTAAACTGAAAGTAAAGTCAAATTTCACATTCATTAGACTATCTGTAAAATACACACTTCTCTCGTTCTCGAAGATATCAGCCCAAAACAAAGCATCTTTTCGCAAATTTATAAGTCACTTCAGTCAAGTGGTGCTAATAAAATACAGCTACTGAATACTAAGAAAGGTATGTGAATGGTGATGAAGCACTGGTTCTCAACCTTCCTAATGCCGTGACCCTTTAATACAGTGCATGTTGTGGTGACCGCCAACCATAAAAATTATTTTCGTTGCTACTTCATAACTGTAATTTTGCTACTGTTATGAATCGGGTGACCTCTTGAAAGGGCCTTTTGACCCCCAAAGGGGTCGTGACCCACAGGTTGAGAACCACTGTGATGAAGGAAGGCGGTGCTATTCACTAACCCCTACCCTCAACTCACAAAAATGAGTGCACATGTGAGGAATGCCTGCAGAAAACAGGAGGGTATTATTTGGGAACATACAGACATACAAGCCAGAGCCTTACAGAAATAAATATAAGAAAATTTTATGTACCACAACTTGGAAAGATAAAGCTATAGACCTTATTGTATGGCACAAAAATGAGACAATATGAGAGAAGTCAGAAGCCTGTCTTTTCTTGAACAGCTCTTGTTGCAAATTACTTTGTGTAATAGTCACTGTTAATTTGCACTTCAGGGCAATAATACATTTGCAGACATATCTGCAAACCTGAAAGGTCACCCAAATTGTTATTTCCCTGCCCTCTCCTCACATTAGACTGATGTTAACACATAGGTATAAAAGGAGATTTAAGGAAATCATTACTTATCTGTGAACACCTGACAGTTTTAACTAAGAATGCTGGCTTTGCTTTGAACATTCTAACCACATGTTCCTACTTTTTCAACCTGAACAAAATAAATATTTGAACCATAATCTTCAATGCAGTCCCTCTGTATTTGTTGTCCATCTTAATCACCTGTTTTGCTTGCTTGCTTAGTGCCTTTAACGCTTAGATGTTGCACCTGGAGATTCTTGCTTGCTTTATGATGTAGGTTTATATAACCTTTAATTGAAAGCAAACCGCCTTAGATAATTCAATGACATTGTTACAAGGTCCACTTTCCGTTAAAAGGCAAATAGAAATATTAGGCTATGTTCTCTAAAATGAAGGAAAAAAACATAAAAATACACTTTTAAAAAAGAGTAAAAAAAAACCAAAAGTGTAATTTGCCACTCCATTTCCTTTACCAGCAATAAAAATGCACAGCCCCAAATGCCTTTTGATGTGTCTGTCCCCACCCCCAGACCCTCAGAGGTGGTGTGGGACGGACGTGGTATGAGTTCTCAGTGGTTAGATTTTTCTCATTGTAAGACAACACTCTGCCAAAGAAAACCTTTAGTCACACAGTTAACTATTTGTTACTGTAATAACCATATAACTTTTACCCAGTGTTTTAATATTTTAACTATTACCTGTTGAAAGCACATTAAAAATAAGGCAACCTGGACATGGAAGGATGTCAAGAGTAGTAAGCAGTATCTGCTCTTTTTATGTGGAAGCTAAAGTTGAGTTTGTAAATGAAAAAGGAAATGTTGACTTCAAAGGGGAACTGAAGGCCGTGTACCTTTTACAAGGCAGCTTCATGACCTGAAACAGCAGTGTAATAATTGAAGAAAAAGAATACAGCTCTTTAGCACATGCGAGTCCTAGCCTGCCTGACCAAGGACACATGTGAATGGTGACCCATGGAATCCATATGTTGTACAGTTTGCATGGTTGTAGGCCTGGAGTTATAGGCACGACCAGAGTGGAGTTCTACAGAAACCAAGGCCAAATACTTTTGCAATGATGTAATAATTTGTCTACATTTCTCAGGGCTGCTTCTCTGCCTTCAACGTTAGTCTGCATGCGGCTGTACAACCAGATTTGTGGCAAAGTGTGTATCTCAATAACATTTTTTCCTGCCATGTGCGAACAACCCAACATAGACTGAAGGGAAAACAAAGCAGTCTCCTTTATATTTGGTCATATTGATGTTCAGAGTAAGACAGGATGATACCAAGCAAATCTTTGAAAATATAATTGGAAGAAATTTTCAAAACACTATGTAGATTATATAGTTTAGTAGTGGTGCAAAGCGAATTGCCCTCAAGACAGAACAGGACCTATCGTCTCAAGAATTAAAACATTACTGAACAAAATAACAATCTATAAACTATCAAGGGCTCATGAGGGAGGGGGGAGGGGGAGGGAGGGGAAAAATGAGGACCTAATGTCGGGGGTTTAAGTGGAGAGAAAATGATTTGAGAATGATGTACAAATGCGCTTTACACAATTGATGTGTGTATGGATTGTGATAACAGTTGTATAAGCCCCTAATAAAATGTTAAACAAAAAACAAAAAACATTACTGAATAGTGGAGCTTGGAAATGGGTACTGATTACACAACATGAAGAATATAATCAAATCACCAAATAATCCATGTAAAAATTATTGAATTGGCAAATGTGTTGTGCATTTTTTTTTTAGTCCTAATAATAGTAAAAAGTCATTTAAAAGTGTTTTTAAATAAGACAACTAAGTTCAATGTAAGGAAATAGTGATGAGTTCATGGTGAAAAAAAAGAAGAGTTTATAGTGACTGACTATACTTGACTTTAACCATTTCCCACCAAGAGTATGAAAAATAAAGACAGCAACATTAAAAAAACTTAACTTATATTCAAAATATTTTGTATATAAACAATTTTAATACTACAAAGTAGTATTTCAATACAAAGCAGTTCAAATATTAACTTCTTTAAACTGTTAAACTTTATTATAAATTAAAATATCTTTACAAAAAAATTGCACATATTTGACCACTCTTAGGTTCTGATGCACTGGCATTTGCAATAGTTTCTTTTATCTTCAAGTTAAACAGTCTCAGCAAGGAGTCCAGAGCGTAGAAAGGGCAATAAACAACCCTGTTAGAGCAATTCAAGTGCAACTAGCAGACTTGTGGCCATGGCAGTTACACTTTCCTTAAGATGGACTGCTTAAGTTTATATCCTGAAATGAAGAATCTCAAAAGATTTAAAAAGGAAGAACCAAAAGGGACTGCCTTTTTAACTGTAAACACAGCCCTAAAAATTAAACCCCACACAGGAATCTCTCAGGCATCAGAGAGTGTCAAGTGAATCAGGAATAGCAAAACATAAAGGGCAAAAAGTAAAAAAATAACACAAATAAAATGAAAATAAATGTCAGTCACTTTGAGGGGCTATACTTACGTACATGATGTTATGACAATCTGGCTGGGCCTAGTAGCAGGCCAAACAGGAAGTTCATTTATCCAACTGACGAGGGTCATGTTCATTGCTTCCGATTTTGAGGACAGAATATTGTAAGGAACTTGATATGATCGATAATACTTGTCTGCTTTACACAGACCTTAGCCAGGGATCAGCCTAATCTTGAAGGATCATTCAAATGATTTTGGCAATTATTATAAGGACTTAGAACTGACTGCACCAGTGTTCAATGATTCTTGCTTTCTGTTTTGTTACTGTTTAAATTTAAGAGCTCATTTAGGCTGACTCCAATCTCTTGGCACTTGGAAACTAGTTTTCTCAGGTTATCAGTTTTACCTCCTTCTGATGCTTCAAACAAGAGTTGCTGTAAAAGACAGGGAAGCATGGAAGTAAGATTTAGCTAGAATATGAGCATCACCACATCAATGGATATGGCACATGCAGAAAATTTATAGGAAAACATCAAGGTAAAATAAAAGATAAAAAGCATTACATCTTTCCACAGTGATGCACAAAGAGGTAACTTCTGTAAGGCTCTCTGATATAAACGGTGGACCTATAAGATAGATATACACACAACTCCATCAGGAAACATGAAAAAATATCTACATAACCCTAACTGTTAAAAAGGACATCATTTCACAATGCAAGAACATTCCAGACAAAAATATTACATTGGGTTTTGAAGTTTCCAAATATTTAGAATTCTTAGAATAATAACTTTTTTTTTTTAACATTTTATTAGGGGCTCATACAACTGTTATCCCAATCCATACACACATCAATTGTGTAAAGCGCATTTGTACATTGTTTCTCAAAACATTTTCTCTCCATTTAAACCCCCGATATTAGGTCCTCAGAATAATAACTTTTATGCTTTAATCCTTTTCAACTGAAAAATCACCAAAGGAGCAAACAGCTTAAAAATACAACCCATCTGATGATAGTCAGTGATGGCTTACCTCTCTTTGTCCCTTTAGAACAATCTCAGCAGCAATGGCTCTAAGATAAAAAGGAATATAAAAAAAGAAGAAGAAAAATTTATATATCTTTGAAAACAAACACCACTGACAGAATGCTGACTGTGGGAATCTGACACAAAACTTCCTGAAAGTAACAGGCTAAACTTCCAAGGAGGGTAACCTACAGTGAAAAGAAAAATTCAACAATTTTATCAACTTTACAAGAATTAAAAACAGACCAGTGTTTTGAATATAAATAAAGTTCATGAAAAAAAAAGTACTCCCAATTACTAGTGAAAAATACCTGCATTGTGGGGCTACAACTAATATCACAAAAACATTTGTGTATGAAATGTTGAATGGGAAACTAATTTGCTGTGTACACTTTCACTGAAACACAATAGAATATTCAAAAAGAAAAACCCTGGCACTATTACCTTTACAAGAAATCAGACTATGTGAGGGAGGGTCACCTCATGTTTCAAAAGAGATAGTCTAAAAACATAGATATCAGATATATGTTTGCGAGCTAACCATAAGTATCCTCTTATTGTAAAACCTTAACAAGGCCCAAAACAAATCTAAATTAGAGATATGCCCCAGGGAGAAAGTAGGTGTCATTTCAGATTTACCTGTCTGGAGCAAACCTTATAAATAAAAGCAATAGCTATAAAAACATGTACATGATTGTTGCATTACATTTTCCAGGTGGCCAGGCATGTTGGGATATTATATGTAAACATCTTGGCTTGAAGTTTCAGAATCTGAACATTGCTTTCTTCCCATTCATGTTGAAGCAGCCTGTAAAGTATATTCAATAAAGTGAACAAAGCATTCCAAGTGTCGGGACTCCCAAATGTGTTCTATGAACAGAATGTTTACCGAGCTGTAATTTTTGAACAGTTAAAGTCTGTCAATGCGATGGTAGAATGCCTCTTATAAAAATGACCCTGGAACAACACTAGCAAAAAGTCCAGTCATGACCTATGCTCATCTTCAAAAAATTAAAGTTCATGCACTCTTAAACAATACTATAGTATTCTTTCCAAACAACGGTGCCCTTGATTTCTACAACAGACTTACTATATTAATGCAATTTCCTGGCAGTTTTGTTTATTAAAGTGAGTATATACTAAATCATGTTTTTTTTTAAAAAAGACAAAAACAAATGATAAATATACTAATTACTGAACTATCTATTTCAGTGGGAAAAGGGCAATGATGATCACAAGAAAGTATCAATATGCAAAAGGGTCTTACTAACAATTCCAATAATTAACTGCTTATATTCCAAAATGCCTACCACGATGAAAGCTAGTCAATTTATGACTACATTTTCTATGTCACATATCTTATCAAAGATGTTTAGTAATACAAATCTTCTACTAGCTTCTGCAGATTAGTATGCTTAGAGTTGTCTTTATAAAAACACTATATGCATTATGGCTATCTTTATCATAGCTTCAGGCTTCAATAGCTTCAATCTCATATACCATTTCCCCACATACATTCTAAGTAAATACCATTTCCCCACATACATTCTAAGTAAATACTTAAAAGGGAACTATTTGATAAACAGTTTAGGCGTCTTACAATTCCTAAGACAAGCATACACTCATAAGATACAACCAATGCAGTGGAGTGACTGTAAAAGTGAAGGTCTAAGCATTAGCATGCAGTTGACACCATAATATATTCAGATTTTCAGGACCTTTTATATTAAATCAAATAATATTGAGGGTCAAGACGAGTGTACCCTAACCAGAAAAAGGAGAAACAACAAAGTTTCAGAATCTCTTTCTATATGAATGCAAAGTCTCTAGATAAGTGATTCTCAAATGTGGTTTGAGGGCTCCAACGCAGTAATCTACACTTTTAGTGGCATCCACGTAGTTTCCAAAGCATGCTGACATTTAAGAGCTACTAAATTATGTCAAATATGTCACAGCAATGAGGATATATATAATTAGCAACTACTTCTGTTTAACACTTTGAAAACTTCAAGAAACATTCCCTTGGCACATAAAAAACACTTTTTATAATACCTGTGCTAAGGACAGCAGGTGTGTGCTCTGGAAACGCAGATAATCTTATTGGAATTATATGCCCCCTATCACCTGACCAGCTTTATGAAGTAGTCTCATTTTAATACTTTTGTTGCTTTGGAAGCTAAATATTACATAATATGCTGAAAGCAAAATAGTACATATTAATGAGGAAATAGTAGAAATACAAGACTGTTCTCAAGTTTTAAAGAACAATTTTATATGAAAGTCTATAAACTATTGAAAAAAAGTACAAAAAAACAATCAAAAATTTTTTTTTTCTTACCTCAGTGCAAGTCCAGAATTAGTTGGCATAATTGAGCAAAACCGTTCCAAGGTTTTGGAGTGCTGGGTCTTTGGAACACAGCTCAAATAAAAGAAAATTACCTGTAAAGGTTGAGGGGCCATAAAAATGAATGCAACCAAATACGTGGAACCAAATTACCTATGTGCTTTAATGAGAAAACCAAAATGGTCTTTAAGACATGAATGTATAAATTATAATAATGTACGATGCTGTGAGTTACAGTTCCTATCATTAATTTTATTAGTGACTTTCAAAAATGAATTAGAAAATATGGTCTAGTGATGAGCCATGGACTAAGAACCACTGACAAGAAGCCAGAATCCGGGGTTTCATTCCTGAGTCTACCTTTACTTGTTGTATAGCTGGGCAAGTCATGGGTCTAATAATACCTGCCACATCTTGCTCATGGAATGCCCGTGTATAAATGACATAATGTCCATACAGTGGTTTGAGATCCTGGGATAAAGAATGGCATAGAAGCACAAAGCATAATAATTGGTTATGTTGATTAGCAACAAAACCACCCAACCCCACCCCAAAAAAAAACCCAACAATATATATATACAGACACACATATATACACACATATGTGTATATGCGTGCATATACCTATGTGTATGTACATACTTAAGATTTAGTTTATATTGCACTGAATGAATGGTTGGGGGGGGTCCCCCAAAATAAATGAAAAACAAACACCTACAAGATATCTCATAAATATACTACAATTAAGTTCTAACTTTAAAATTCCAAATGGCATTTGATTTTAGCTTTTATGCTCTATGTAAACCTGTCTTTGCTTAACAAAATATCACAAAAAGAGCAGTAATACTATGTAAGTTCATTCTTATTTTACTGTTATAGAATATTTTATTCAGTAAAATATCCAATTACTCATCTAGCATGTTCTTTCATTAAAGGAGAATATTAAAAATCACTACAAATTACTGCAATGCAAATTATATATCTTACAGTGAATTCTAACTTTTTCCATTTCAGAGGGGGAAGAATATTTTCTTAAATAAACCATAATCAATATTTATATTTTATCCTAACTGAGCCTTAGCACAAACGTTTGCCCTAAATGAGGGTTTGCATTCTAAACTTTGAAAAGCTAAATAAGACATTAGTTCAAGACTAACGGTGAACGCTAAGTTATTTTAGAAAAAGTTCTCTTCACACACAAAACAGAAGGTTTTCTGGCATTTAAGTCTCTACCTCTGTATAAACATCTAAAACAAAAAGTTTTAAGTTCTTACCCTATTATGAAATTCATAGTTGGACCAGTAATCAGCACTGCTAAAAGGAATGGGGTATCGGGCAGGGACTGTAACCAAACATCTATTCACTAAATCAGTAAAAAATTTGAATTCTTGGACTTTGTTTCTGGATCCAGCAGCTCTATTATTGGCAAAGACAAGATAACTGCCAAAAGAAAAATATTGTGATAATTTAGAATCATCAAGTCAGTAATTCCCTCACCAAGAAAGCTGATCACCCCCTTGCCCACCATGCCCCTTTTATTCTGGAATCCCATTATTAGGAAGACTAAACTTACTCCATCCAAATCTTCTGTACTATATCAGATCTCATGGCCACCCCTAATGCTGCCTCGTATGCTTCCACTGTCTCTTTAATACTTGATTGAAGAGGATGACAAAGACTGTTTAAAAAAACAAGGATGTCAACAGTTCAATACTATTAGGTAAAGGAATGATAATATATTTTAAACACTACAGATATTAGCACCATTTAAATTCTTCTTTCATCTTTTAATATATGCGTTAAACTTTAACATCTTTTAAATTTTTCGTGACTTACATGTTAATGTTACAGTATAAATCTTTAATAATATGATATAAGCTGTTTGTGATATCTCTCCACAAAAGACAATGCCTCACCAGTAAATCAGCCACAAGTAAGGGATTTGGTGGTTACACATTTCATCACTAAAATTTCCTTTACATAAACAGGATGGAATGTCAAGTGGTCCTGGGATGTTTAAGAGATACCTGAAACAAATATAAGATCATTTGAAATTATGCCTATGCACACATGGACTCCTTAAAAACCAAAAAAACCCTCAGTTTCGATTGAAATGTTTTAAAAATTAATGTTAACTTTACTTTCATCTGTATACCATACCCCTATGGTCAGGTCTCTATTTTATTATTTTATCCTACATGAATAACTTTCTTTATAAGATTATTTTACCCTACTCCCCAAATTAAGCCACCATAATTATTTAAAATGAAAATATATAAGAATACTAAAGTATCTAAAACTTTCTATACAGCTGTACTTTCCTATAAAATAAGTGTCCACAAAACCTGTTATCTGAAAACAACCTTTCTCTTATATGCATAACACTATAGGTTTAACTTTAGACACGTCACCATAGTGTATCCTATGGTATACTGGCCCATATAAACTTATTTTTAAAAAGTCATGATCAAGTAAGTTTGGGAATTAGTGAAATTATAACCCTTCTTGAGAAAAGACGATACACATTAGGAGTGAAAGCTGTAAGAAGTTAACCAATAATTAAATCTACTTGGCTAACTAATTTCTTGCCCCCAAATGTATGTGAATCTGTGTGAATGTATAATACTTACCAACATCTTGAGGGATGATGTTTTTAAAGGAAATACATTGCTCTCAAAAATGACAATCTAGTATAACTGCTTACCTTGGATTTAAAAATTATTTCAAGAGAATAGGTTTTAATGGACTAGAGGCTGTATGGAGGAAAAACACAAGAAAGGGAAGAAGATGGGACATCGAGGTGTCAGGCTGTAATCCTAACTTTGCCATAACTAGCTGTATGACCATGAATTAATCACTTCGCTTCTAAGGATTCCACCATTGAAAACTGATGTGGCTCAGAAAAGATAACTTCTAATGTATGAAGGAGTCTATAATCTCAAGACTAACTTCAGTAAAGTGAATTAAATCCTCAAGCAAAGTTCTATGGCCTTTAACTTGAAACACATAAATAGACATTACCCAATGTAACTCTTTCAGCTTGTTGTCTTTATAGTAAATGGCACATAGAAAGGAAGCTGACTGAACTCAACTTCATGTAAATGTTAGTTCTAAAAATATTTGCTATACAATTTCCATTTGTGAAATAAAAAAATAATTTGATATCTCAAGAGCACACTGATTTACCATATTAACAAACTGGAAATGTATAAATCTAAAAAATGTATATCAACATATAATATAATAAGTATGAGAACACAAAAAATACCTCGTGTCTTTCCTAATTTATATATATATTATATATATATATATTGACGTGGCTTACTCATTCCAATATATACCTTCCCTTACTTGTTGTCTCACTTGAAAAATTATCTCATTTCCTACTTGACTAAAAAAAGACTTCCTGAATTAAAAGTCCACACTCTTTATATAAGCAGTCTTTAGTACTGCCCAAACAAAGCACAGGACTTTTCCTTGTCCTAGTTAGTATGAGAAGAAAAGAATTTAATAAAGCTGGATAATTTCACAAATAACGGATTATTTGCAGGTAGCCCATTTTCAAATTTTTCTTGACACTATTATTTTGCTTAATTAACCTGGCAACAAGAAGATCTTTTATTAGTTACCAAGGCAGACATTGGCAACATTTTCTTCAAGCTAAACCAATCACCAGTACCTCTATGCCCAAGGGAAGACCAGAACCAGCAAGTATATAACGAGTTTGGTTCAGCCTTGGATTGGTCCTGTGCCTGAATTAGAGAAGTAGAGCAATATAATTTAAACAAGGGAGATGAGCATGAGGAAGCTGAGCAATCTCTAAAATCTTATAGGTTAGTAGCTTAATTATTAGTTTGTATTTAAATGTATTCTTTTTTAATTAACTATGAGATATTTGACGGAACAAAGTAGGAAAAGTACTAAAACTAAAACTATTTGTCAATTAATTAGCTGGTTGCCATAAAGGGAAATGATGCAAAGACCCAAGTCTGGGAAGGTACAGTGATCCCAAACTTTTTGCTAAATGTCAAATAAAACTGCCAAATTCACAAAAAATTCTAGAGTGGGAGGACAAGTGATTTAACAGAAAGTAGTAAGCGAATTTAAAAATTACATGGAGAAACCCTAGGACACTATTTTGCAGAAAACAAGTTTGTAAACATTAAACCAAGATTTTAAATCTTTGCTTATTAGCAGTATTTTTCCAAGAAGCCCTTTTAGGGTATATAATCTACCTTATGTCTTCTTTTAAGTACTTCCTAATATAAAACAGAAGTATGCTATGATAAAAAAAAATTTCCTTTTGATACTGTTTTATTTCAGGTCAGCAGACAGTGCCTACCCTTACATCTGAAGTTTTAATAGGAAAACAGCCACGCCTGTTTGTTTACACATTGATGGTGGCTGCTTTATTCTCTATCACAGCACAGTTGGGTAGCAGGGAAAGAGAGGCACTGGGTTGCAACCCTAAAATATTTCATCTTAAGGGAAAAACATATCAGTTAATCCCTGCAGAGATGAGAAGGGGAAGAGAATTTTCTAATCTCCCTCCATCCAATTCACACTTCGCTCTGTTTCTGTGGCCTCTTATTAGAACAAGAGCTTTCCACAAAGTCAATGAAGGCAGCAAATACAGGGGCTACTGAGAAAGTGAAGACTGAGGAAAAAATTCCTCAACTTCTCACTCAACAACATTTCAGGTTAGTCATTCGCTCTAGAATTAAAGAAGGAAATAGGTATACTATTTACATTCACTTTACATCACAAATGAAGTCATTTTTTTCAAAAGTCATCATGCACATGGAATCCAGGTCAGATAAACCTCTGGGGAACAGGAATGGGTGTAGCAATACCAGGAGAGTAGGGGAAAGGTGGGGGGAGGAAGGGGAAACCGATGCAATAATTAATGCACAATCCCTCCAGGGGTGGGAGGATGAACAACAGAAATATGGTTGAAGGGAGACAGTGGTCAATGTAAGATTTATAATTTATCAAGGGGTCACAAGGGCAGGAGGGGGGAGGGAGGGAAAAAAGAGGAATTGGTACCAAGTGCTCAAATAGAACGTAAATGTTTAGAAAATGATGATGGCAACGTATGTAAAAATATGCTTGACGGCCATTAAGCTCAGAAGTAACAAAGCCCACATGGAAGAAGCACACCAGCCTATGCAACCACAAAGTGTCGAAGGGATCAGATATAGGCATCATCAGAACAAAAAAAAAATCTTACCATACTGAATGATGGGGTGAGTGCGGAGTGGAGACCCAAAACCCATTAGTAGGCCACTGGAGATCCCCTTGCAGAGGGGTCTCGGGGAGGAGATGAGCCAGTCAGGGTGCGATGTAGCAACGATGAGAAATACAACTTTCCTCTAGTCCCTAAATGTTTCCTCTCTGCTCCCACTATCATTACCCAAATTCTACCTTGCAAGTCTGGCTAGAACAAAGGATGTACACTGGTACAGATAGGAACTGGAAATACAGGGGATCCAGGGCGGATGAGCCCTACAGGACCAGTGGTATGAGTGGTGATACTGGGAGGGTAGAGGGAGAGTGGGTTGGAAAGAGGGAACCGATTACAAGTAACTATATGTGACCTCCTCCCTGGAGGACGGACAACCAAAAAGTGGTTGAAGGGAGATGTTGGACAGGGCAAGATATGACAAAATAACAAGTTATAAATTATCAAGGGCTCATGAGGGAGGGGGGAGCGGGGAGGGAGGGGAAAAATGAGGACCTAATGACGGGGGCTTAAGTGGAAAGGAAACGTTTTGAGAATGATGAGGGCAATGAATGTACAAATGCGCTTTACACAACTGATGTATGTATGGAATGTGATGAGTTGTATGAGCCCCTAATAAAATAATATAGATAGATAGATAGATAGATAGATAGATAGATAGATAGATAGATAGATAGATAGATGCATGCTTGACACAACTGATGTATGGATTGTTCTAAGAGCTGTAAGAGCCCCCAATAAAATGATCTCTAAAAAAATTAAACTAACTTTTTTAAAGAGTCAGTGTGATTAGATTTTTTAAGTAGATGACACAGTACCAAGTGCTACAAGTAACATTATCAATCCAGTAAAAGAAAAATGAGTCACTCAGATGTTAGTATAACCCTTACTTCACATATGTATAATGTCTGTAATTCAAAGAATGCAAAGCATCTTACATTTTTGCCTCGATTTCTTTACATTTTATTGGCCTCATAACCGGTTGTTGTAAAGGTTTGTCTCAAGATATAATCAGCCTATAATGAATCAATCCCCACACCAATCCTTCCAATGAGCTGAAACTATTCTCCATTCTCTATAAATCAAACAATTTCTATAAACTTACCGAAAAAGATCCAAGTTACTGTACTTCTCACATCCAGGTTTAAAGAAGGATGCAATGAATTTCCGCAAAAATGGAAGAAGATTATCGCCTTGGTTCTATTTTTAAAAAGGGTAAGGGTATATAATCAGGCTTACAATGTTTAATCAAAATATTCCAAGGAAGAAAAAGACCCCTCCACCCCGAGTCGCCAAATACTGATTAGATTTCCTTGTTGGAAGTCAGGGAGGTAACAGAGTGCAAGTCTGGGACACATGTTGATACATGTTATATCCTTATGGCTGAATTAAGTCCAAGCATTCAACAGCTTAACAAAACCACCAGTCTCAATTTCAACTCCAAATTATCCATTACGTTTCTGTTACATGTTTTGAACTATGCTAGTTCAAATAAGACAGAATCCTAGCTCTCAAGAAGTTCTTAGCCTAGTATATAAAACAGCTACAAACAAAATGAGAAGGTAATGCAGTAAGTGCAATGGTAGAACTATGCACAGGTATTATGATAGAGTGAATGAAGAGGAGTTTTACAGTTTACAAAAAAGCCAAATAAAGCACCAGGAAGTGTTTAGAGGAGAAGCTGATGTCTGAAATGTCTTAAAAGATGATTAAGAATATGCGGGACATAAAAATATCATATTTAATTTAAGATCATGAATAGTTTTTACCTGCAAGATGAACAATTTGCAAGTATGATAAAAAACTTCTGCATTCTGAGGATTTTTTTCAAATGCCGTAAGCCACACTGCCCTGGCTTTGTCAGGCTGATTTGTTTGTAAGTATAATGCACCAAGTGTTTCCAACAACTGGCAGTTCATGGGAGATGATTCCAATAAACATTCACAAAGCTTTACTGCAGCTTCAAACCTTAACAAGAAGAAAAAATGTCATATCCCAGAAAACAATCCATTTCAAATGCAGAGTTAACTGCTCGTCAAATGTGCTTACCTCTGTAGAAGCTGGTGCAGAGCAATCATGTTTGTATAAAGTGGAAGACAGATCTCTATTCTCCCCTGAATAGTAAGGCTCTCATCTGTACAAGCTTTCACTGCATCTATCCAAAAACATCACAGTATGAATAAAGCATAACATGAATTACTTATTTTACTGTGTTACTTAAAATGTAAAGACACCAACTGGAAAAGATCGCCTATACCTTTGGTTGATTATCATTCTACCCATCTTTACCAAACTCCCCAAAAAAACCCTTTACCCAAAGGAAGAAGTACCTGGTATCCCAGAGGGTTAAGTTTTTGAGTAGGTAAAAGGTAGGTGGGTTGAATCTACCCAAAGGCACCTTGGGACAAAGACCTGGCAATCTGTTTCCCAAAGGTCCCAACTTTAAAAAACCCTACGGCGCCATTTGAATTCTGCAACACACGGAGGTCAACATGAGTCTGAATCAACTTGATGGCAACTGTTTTTTTAATGTTTTTACCCAAAAGAGGTATTTCATGCTATCTCTAAATATCTAAAATTAAATCCTTACCCTGTTGCCCACTAAGAATAAAATGTTTTTGAAAAAAATACTTTATTGGTATATACTTTACATATCATAAATTTAATCTATCATATTAAGAATATGCAATTATCACCACAATCAATTTCAGAACATTTTCTTCTCATATCCATTGTTGTTAGCGCCCCATTTTTCCCATCCTCCCGTGTAACGCCTCTGATATCAGTTCAGTTACTGTCTCTATAGACATACCTATCCTGGAGTTCATAAATATAGTCATACAAAACATAAACATGAAACAGCAAACAAAAAAATGTCTAGACAAAATATGGGAATATTTCCCCAAACTGACGATGTCTAGACAAAATATGGAAATATTTCCAAGAGAAAGCATAAAGTATTAAAAAGTGAAACAACTTCAAAATGGGTTAAAAGGGAGATCAAATAATAAGGCATTACATTCTAACCTAACTCAATGTGCCATAAATCGACTTCACAATGTTCTCTGATAGCAGATATTCATATCCCTGCACTATGGTTAGAAGGGATTCACCAGAGACTTAATACATGTAGGCTACAAATGGATTCTGGGCTTCCAAAATCCTTAGCTTTCTGCAAACTGGGTGCTCACAGTTTAAGCTGTTACCATTCCTTCCTTTGGACTTTATTATTTACAATCCTTGAATCACACAGGCCGGCGTGCTTCTTCCATGTGGACTTAGTTGACCCCTCACTTAGTTGGCTGCTTGTTTGAAAACAAGCTTTTTAGACCCCATATGCTATTCTTTCTGATAGCCAGGCACCATCTGATTTCTTCACCACACCTTGCTATAGCACCACCCCTACCTTCAGTGATCTCTTGATATAGGTGACTACCAAGTATGGCCATGTCATAAGAAGTAAGGGCTCTTAGATAGGGATTAGAATTAAGTGCTAGCCCCAAATCCATTCAAAGAGCTACGGTTTACATACGTCTCTGGTTCACTTTAGAGACATCATTATCATTTTTTAACACTGTAAGTCAACAACCCCTGGGGCATAAGGTAATTTCATTTATAGTGTCATCAATTTAGCCAGTAATAAAGAATTTAAAACACTGTTGAAAAAAGGAAATTACACAAGTATAGTCTAGCTTCAGGCCACAATACATGAATGGTTAACTTGTACACATGAAACCTTTATGTGACTTAACCGTCTCTGCATTTATCTTATTTGTTAAAATAACTATCAAAAAATTCAAACACTGAATATAATCAATTCTCATTTGTAGATTCAATGTTCATAAGTTAAACCACTCACTAAAATTTAGTTGTAACCCCCAGATTAATACCTGCTGACTTTCCCAATTATTCACAGCTATCAGCAAAGCAGTGAAGAAATGTGAGGCATTAGACATACATGTTCCCAGATGAAGTCAAAAGCAGCCTGCCTTCCTGAGTGAGGTATCAAACTGTGTTTTCCATTGGTGGTTTTGCTGTTTAAAATGGCCCCCAAGCGTAGTGGCAAGGTGCTGTCTAGTACAGCTAAGTGCAAAAAGGCTGTGATGTGCCTTAAAATGAAAATGCATGTTGTACTGGGTAAGCTTCATCCGAGCACGTGTTACAGTGCTGTTGACTGTGAGTTCAATGTTCATAAATATGAAATAATATGTCTAAACAGAAACATGCACAAAACATATTTATATATTAATTGGTTGGCCAAAAGGTTGTGACCAGAATAGTGATTGAAAATGTTCTAAAACCAATTATAGTAATGATTACACAACTCTTTCTGATATAGTAAATTGAATTGTATGTTGATTATGTGGCAATGTTTTTTTAAGTGGGCAATAAACAAATATTAATATATTATATCTTCTACCACCTTCCCCCCAAATACGACTGCATATTTTCAGGTGTCTTTAACCAGTATTTTCCCAGGTTAATTTTCTTGGGCCTCAGTTATGGCCATTAGCTCTAAGATGGCAGTCCTATCTCTAGTCTTAAGCTTTATCGGTATGTTCTCTTTCTTTCCTAAAAAATGTTTATTACTATCAAGTCTACCACACTTAAAAACCTGCTATCATTCCACCTACCAAGTATTCATTCCTATATTGCCCAGCACAGAAATCTCACTTTGAGAAGGACTCCCCTCTGCTTTCCCAGCTCTTTTCAAGCCGACCACAGAAATCCCTATCTATTTGATATTTTGGTTATTTGGATCAGTGGAAACACAGTGGTTTCTCGACCCTTTCATACAGTTCCTCATGTTGTGGTGACACCACCAGCCCCCTAAACCATAAAATTATTTTCGTTGCTATTGCATCACTGTAATTTTGCTACTGTTACGAATCGGGTGACCCCTGGGAAAGGGTCATCTGACCCCCCCAAAGGGGTCGTGACGCACCGGTTCTCCTTCTTTTCCTTCCTTTACTGAGTAGTTTATTAAGCAACCTTTTACTATATACCTATTACATTGTCAAGGAACTCTGGTGGCACTGTGAGGTAAGTGTTGGTCTGCTAGCAAGGTTGGCAGTTCAAAACGCCTCTCCTCAGGACAAAGATGAGATTTCCTGCTCCCATGAATATTTACAGCCATATAAAGCCCACATAAGGTTGCTATGAGTTAGAATCCACTGGGTTACAGTGAAATGAGTAAGAATCTACTAAATGGCAATGCTTTTGTTGTTGTTTTAATACACTGTCAGACATTATGACAGACCACTGGAAAAAAAGAGATAAGAACTCATGGTTCCCACGTTTCACAGGTACCACTACAACAAACGGAGTTCTGATGGGCTCAGCACTGGACAGTTAAATGAAAGGTAGATGGTTCAAGACCACCTGTCACTTTTTTAAAGAAAAAAACTGTTAATCTCCTCCTACAGATTTCAGTCTAGAAAATCCTATGGGGCAGTTCAACTTTGTAAGGTCACTATGCATCAGAATCAAAGCCTTAGTCCATATCTAAGTCTCAATTCTTCTATGACGACTTCTTTGAGTCCTATAGAATATAATTCTATACACGACAGATCTTCGTACCCATCTACAGCATACAATTTACCCTACTAGCACACAGCCACATGGCCTTATGTATTTAATAGTTACGTGAAATGTATAGATTTTACCTTCTCACTAGGCTACATACCTGCTAGTGGTCATCTTAGACAAGTCAACCCTTAATGTTTTCATAGTTATATAATAAATTAAGAAAGTATACACGTCAATATGTAGATATAAATTAATGCTGCATAATTATGAAGTCACTTTAATAGTGGGTACAATGAAGTTAATCATTTGGAGCCATTTATACATACCTTCAAAAACTGCTAACAACATGTCAGGATTAGTCTTTATATCTTCAACTGTGTGCCATGGCATCACAAATGGTTCTGTGCTAACAATTCTTGAAGGATTGGTGTTAGAGGGATCATAGAATTTTGGAGGAAGAATGTTGAATTCAAGAAGATGTATGTAGGCCAGCCATGCTAAACATCGATCACTTGTCTTAAGGTATTCAGCTACTATTCTATCATTAGCAGACTTCAAAGCATTCTAGATAAAATGAAAAAAATAAACTAGCAAGTATTTTTCAAAATAACTACTATTTAAAATAAGATTCACCTACAAAGGCAAAGATGAATTAAAATGTTTCTTTGAAGTGGTTCTTAAATATCTAAAGTCAAATATTTGATAGTTGCCACTTTTTCAAATGAATAGTGTTTACATTGCTAAGGTTTTATAACATAATAAAAAGTTTAATTTGTACACGTTAAGTACTGTGATATTTAAAATCTACCAAGAAATGATAGTACAACAATAAGTACCCATACTTATTTTCAATGTACTATTTTTCCTGATGGTTTGAACTTTGAAGTTAATGTGGTGACATTTTCACTTAAGCTTCATAAAAACTCTAAAAAGATATCATCCTTATTGCTTAATTTCGTTTGCTTAAATCAGTGGCTCTCAACCTTCCTAATGTTGCGACCCATTAAAACAGTTCCTCATGTTGTGGTGACCCCAACCTTAAGATTATTTTCATTGCTACTTCATAACTGTAATTTTGCTACTGTTACGAATCGGGCAACCCCTATGAAAGGGTCATTTAACCCCCAAAGGGGTCGCAACCCACAGGTTGAGAACTGCTGGCTAAAATGAAAAATTAAAGTCTTGAACTATGCTCAATGACACACAACTTAATAGTAAGTGGCAAGACAAGGATTCAAATCCATCACCCGCCCTTTTACTATTACATCATTCCACCTATAACTTAAAATTCTCCACAAGATACATTTCAGTGACATAGTGTTTACCTGTAAAATTGCAAGTGCACTTTGGCATCTTCCAGTAAATATGTGCAGCTGAACTCTAAACAAAAGAGCCTCTAAAAGCTGAAAAGACAGAACATCTGATGTTTCCTGTTCAGCTGCTTCCATTAGGAACTCCATCATCCTCTCACATACATAATCCTTTTCTTCAAAGGTGCTTTCTAGGTACAGAAACTGACCAAAGAGTGTTCATAAAATTAATTCGGCTATACAAGAATAAAGAAGTTTCCTATTTCATTAAGAAACTGTTTCACTAAATCTTCAATTTCTTGAACACACACACACAAGTACTCCAACTTTCTGAACATGTTGGAGATTAGAATCTAATACAAACTAAAACAAACAAAATAACCCACAGATATGCTTCTTTGCAGTTCTTGGCAGTAAGGCCAAAATAGAACTCCAAAGTGCAACAAGTTTGAGAATAGTATTTCTTTTAGATAGCATTTCTATTAGCATTTATATTAGAAAAGGGTAAATCAATAAATCAAATCCCTGTAAGGATGTAATAATTTGAAAGAAAATCAGATATTTTGAATACCATACTCTATGACACTTCATTGCACTCAAGAACATTAACCTTAGTAAACAGGCCTTCTGAACATAAAATTCCAGGAAAAAAACAAATGTCTTTCACTGACCAAAATCTAATCAGTATTGCGTTCAGAGAACTACAGGGGCAAGTTCATTCATTAAGGGATACAAGGTTATCCAAACCCTTTTGATTCTGAGTTTCAGTAAAGAGCAAGTAAATAATGAAGTTGACAGCAGATTTATCTAAAAATCCATCTAAGTAGGATCTTGTATTCACGTAATGAAAAATTCAGACATTAATGAATATAGGAAGTCTCTGGATTCTGACATCCACGGTTGTCAAGTAATCATCAACCAACCCTGTAGAACCTATTATATTAAAAATTCAAGGTAAATATAATAGTTCATAGTAGCAAAGGGGAGGTACTGTGTGATCAAAATTACAACATTTTTATTATATTACTGTATTTATTACATTATTACATTAGAGATGTTTTAGTGGTAAATGTTTTTTATGCAAAGTACACTACATACAAAAACTAACATTTGACTTGATTTTACAAACCATACTTAATTGTTTGACTTACAAGCAAATGTGACCTAAGAATATTTAGGAATAGAATTTGTTTAGAATCAAGGCACTACTTGTGGTTGGTTTCCTTTACAAATGAATCAATTATAATTTTCAGTCTGAGTAAGAAACCTTGCATTCTCTAGAGTAAGGAAAAACTTACCCTTTCACTAACTCTTTATTTATATCTTGGGAAAGTCTAAATTAATGTAAATTAGTTTAGGAGTCTTTTTCCATAAGCAAAACCAAAACCAAACACTGCCATTGAGTTGATTCCAACTCAGAGTGAGGCTGTAAATCTTTCCAGAAGCAGACAGCTTTGCCTTTCTACTATGGAGAAGCTGGTCGGTTGAAACACTGATTTTATAGTTTATAGTTCAACAAGTAGCCAACAGTACCACCAGGGCTTCTGAAGACAGGTAATAAAAAGGCCAGAATATTTCCTCTTATCAATGGGAATTTTACATGAGCCTAATTAAGGAAAATTTTTAGGTGCTTTACAAAAACTGCATTTCATTTTGCCCAAACTAAAATTGATTTAGGTAGCGCTAACATGATTTATTTTGCATGTTTTCTTTACAGTTACCCAAAAGAAAAATTTCTTGATGAAAAAACATGACCCAGAAGGAGCTTTGAGGTTATTGAAAATTAACAGTAGAAGATGGGTAGTTGATAATAGGTAGGTAAAGAGAAAAATACATGTAGTATTAAAACTATTTTTTATGTATTTTTTCTTTCCTTTCTTTTTTTTAAATCGTTTTATTAGGGGCTCATACAACTCTTATCACAATCCATACATACATCAATTGTGTAAAACACATTTGTACATTCATTGCCCTCATCATTCTCAAAACATTTGCTCTCCACTTAAGCCCCTGGCATCAGCTCCTCCTTTTTCCCCTCCCTCCCCTCTCCCCCCTCCCTCATGAGCCCTTGATAATTTATAAAATATTATTTTGTCATATCTTGCCATGTTGGACATCTCCCTTCACCCACTTTTCGGTTGTCCGTCCCCCAGGGAGGAAGTCACATGTTGATCTTTGTAATCAGTTCCCTCTTTCCAACCCACTCTCCCTCTACGCTCCCAGTATGGCCACTCACACCACTGGTCCTGAAGGGCTCATCTGCCCTGAATTTCCTGTGTTTCCAGTTCCTATCTGTACCAGTGTACATCCTCTGGTATAGCCAGACTTGCAAGGTAGAATTCGAATCATGATAGGGGGCGGAAGAATTTAGGAACTAGAGGAAAGTTGTATTTTTCATCATTGCTACATCACACCCTGACTGGTTCATCTCCTCCCCAAGACCCCTCTGCAAGGGCTATTTTTTATATTTAAGATGACCCAAAAATTATGAATATATACATACATCCAGGACTATATTATGTTATCTACTCACCGTCCAAAAACTTCGATAATCCGGAGCATATTCAATAGCTGTTTCACACATTTCTTGGACCTCCTCCTTGGTTCCTCTTTTTGAGAACAATCTGAGGTAATGGCACCAAATTTCTGGATTGTCTTTGTTGTTTTCCAGTGCTCGAGCCAAAACATTTAAAGCAGAGTCTAAGGATTCTGAACACTGCCTACATGTTCAAATAAAAGGCAGAAACATTTGAAAATAAACTTTTAAATAAGGTTAGTACACTGAGTGGATTTTATTTCATTTTAGGCTAGAATCGCCTATAACCAAGAATAACATATTAGGACCTTAAATCACATCTGTCGAAAACAAGTCTTGATTTCTCATACCCCCAGCATTTTTTTTGAGTGACTGTTCAGTGAGCATACACTTCAGATGAAAGCACAGTCTTAAGGTTGTCAACTTCAAATGCACTTTATGTCTACATTCAGCAATACCTTTTATGAGTTACACTGGCCAAGAAAAGTTTAACAAATCTTTCTCAAGGCCAACTACTGCTAGCACAAAATATCAAAGCTTTCAATATAATAGTTCTTTTCAACAGTCAGGGCTGGCTATCTCTTGGAGAAGATAATTCGTTCCCATGATCCTATTCATAAAATAAGGTACAGCTCTTTTGGCCTTCACTCAATAAATGAGTCAGAAAAGAAAACACTATAACTTATCCCATTAGCATGGAAATGGCACATACAAAAACCTAAGCAAACATTATATTCAGGCTTATGCAATATATTCGTCTGCAGTAATGTCTTATTTAAAAAGATTTTATACTAAATTATAAGATAGACATAACAAACTAGCCTGTAAAAACCAAGTAACTGATTTATGATGTTACAATTATGATAATGAAGACATTATCCTTGGCTTATCACAAAGTAGGACCACTGATTCAAGAGTTAGAAAAATATAATTAAATAACAAGAGCTAAAGGCTATGAAATAAATTATCATTAACCTAATTTGAATACACATACAATAAGATAAAAATGTCACTTTACAGGAATCTTATGGTTTAAAAATTCCAATTGAAAATCAACATAAATTTTAACTAGTCCACTGCTATTTTATCAGAAGTATTTTAACATAAATTTTAACTAGTCCACTGCTATTTTATCAGAAGTATCTCAAAAGACTGTAACTACTTGAATTAAAAATTTTAAAAATCTTATATCACCCAGAGTTTATTATTTTAACTACTCTACTTGTACTTTGAAACAAAGCCTACTGGTATTATAAACTTTACCATAATTTATTACTCACACACTGTACCAGGCACACAACTCAAGATCTAATATTACACTTTTTAAATAGCTTGAAAGTAAAAGTAGTTTTGCTTTGTAAACCCCCACAGACCCCTTGGGTACTAGGAAGGAAAAACTTGATTACCATATAGTTAAAACAACTCAGGAACACAAAAATACAAATGTGAAACCTACCCTTCATTTTGATTCAAGTACTTGTACGCAAGCTTGAGCCAAAGTTGTACATGTGAAGGATTTTCAAGCACACTTGCTTCTAAATTAGCAATGTCATCAGTTTCGTTTGTGAAGTATCTGACATCATCTGGAGTGACAACTGTATCCACAGCAGGAACATTGATTCGGTTCTCTGGCTGGAAGGCTGGAAGGCAAAATATCATCAGTGCCACACTTTCTCTATTCCAGACACTGGACATAAAGAGTGGCTTCATCTTTTTTAAATGATCTCAAAATCTGAAGGTTTCTGTAGTAATGACCACCTTCAAGGTAGAACCACCATAGAATTTACTGTCCAAAGTAGGACACTTTCTATGAGAATAGTTTATAAAAGGCATTATTCAAAATTACCAGATGATCATAGTTTTTAAATAGGACTGTTCTGGGTATCCATAAAGAATGATGTCTCTTCTTTAAGGGTAAATGAAGATAATTTGCATTCATTAAATTGTCAAAGCAAGTTACACATTATGAAGATTCAATTTTAACTGATTTATTCCACTAAACTTGAATTAAAGGAAATTTACATTAACATAAACAAGCGTGAGACTATCGGTCACTTGAATACTTGCTAATCTAAAAATAGTACACAAATTATGTAAGCTTGATATTAGAATACAAAAGTGCTCACAAGAAAGCATTCAGTCAGGACCATCATCCACCATCTTCACCACATTTGCTTATCCACAGAAGGGCCACAGGGAAGGGATGAGGCACCAGGGTGCAGTAAAGCATCGATGAACCACACTATATTCCTCTGGTTCCTTGCAGCCTTCTTACCCCCCACTACCATGACCTCAGTGCTACTCCTCCAATTCAGACTACAGCGGAACATATATGCAGATATAGATAAGAGATGAGAGCTCACGACACAAAGAATCCAGGAACAGGAGTGGGAACCATGATATCAGAAGGGTAGAAGGAAGAGGGGGAGAGGTGGGGGGAAAAGGGGAACCAATCGCAATGATCAACATATAACCATAGGCTACTTTTGACTCAGTCATTCTACAATCCTGTTACAATGCCCAGATGCTCAGACTGATAAAAGGAGCACCTGCCTTCACAAGCCAACCAGTGGTTCTTAAATGGAAGCAGGACTGCTCCCCTGCCCTCATATTAGTATGTCTGCTAACACCTGGGGCAAATGCAGTCTTTTAAACCCTACAATGTAAAGGGCAAACCAAAAAGCCAAACTCATTACAACCAAGTAAATGCTGACTGACAGCATCCCTTCTGGAACAGAGTAGAACTGCCCCGTGAGTTTCCAAAACTGTAACTGTTTCTGGGATTAGAAAGCACCATCTTTCTCAAACTACAAACCATGCAGACCACAGCATAATTCCTAACCATGCAACCAGGGCACCTATGAAAAGGGCAGCCCTAAATAATGAAGGACGGTACTGACTACAATGGCAATGTGATCAATATGAAAAGTAGGTCAGAAAATACGCCAAAAAATTAGCAAAGGTGGAACTCCACAATTTTGAAAGTTTTACATCTTAAATTACAAAATGTCTTACCATACTTAATTGGACCTGTAAACTGTTCCTCATCACTACTGAAGTTATTCTCTGAAATAGGTTTTCTCCAAAACTTTGGCTTCCACTTTCTTTTATCTTTGTATGTTGTAAATGGAGGTGCTAAAGCAGATAAAAGATGTTAGTTGATAAAACAAGCATTCTATAGTGGTGAAGGCTACTCAAAAGCAAATTTAAAATAGTCACAATAACTCTACAAAGGGACTTTGAAAAGTCTGTGGTAAAAAAAACTCCATGATCTTTTAATCCCATTTTTCTATGGGCTTTTTGAAGCCTCCTGGTATTAGCTAAAAATTATTAAATTGAGAATATAATTTTTATCAAAAAGTTGGCTGCCAAAAAGAAACCATAAGTTTATTTTTAGAGACCCATACATATATATACTTACTATGACCTTTACTTTCATTGACATTGCTAACAAGGAGAATAGACATCTGGTCCACTGACATTCGATCTTTGTTTACACCAAAGAGTTTCTCAACATATTTTTCTGCAACAGAAGCAGTATATAGTCTTCATAAAGAACATAAACGACATAGGTTACAGATTACAGAGCATAGGCTAATTAAAGAGTTTAAAATAAAAATCAGTTCAAGAATTTTTTTTAAGAATATATAATTATTAGGAGCCCTTGCAGGTGGCACTGTGGGAGAAAGATGTCAGAAGGCAGTCTGCTCCTGTAAAGATAAACCCTATACATAAGCTTGCTATGAGTTGAAATCAACTTGATGGCCACCAAACCAAACTCACTGTCCACCAGTCAATACCGACTCAAAGCAACCCCCTGTTGGTTTCTGAGAGACTGTGTCTGTTTATGGATGGAGTGGAAAGCCTAGTATTTCTCCCATGGAGGTGCTGGTGGTTTTGAACTTCCAATCATGTGGATCGCAGCCCAACACAAAACCACTACAACACCAGGGCTCCCATACATAGGGCCTCTAAGAGTTGAAATCAACTTGACGGGAGTGGGTTTGATTTTGAATATACATTGGTCCCTAGTCAAAAACATCCATGTCTTTTGAGAATGTAAGCCAACACAGTTTAACTACAGTCAGAAATCCTACATTATTGTACCCAATTGGGGCTGACAAAATATATCATCGGAAATTAAACTAGTACAAGTTCAAGTCCCAAATTAGGAATGACTTTGTAAATTCACTGATTTTACAATCACTCTGAAGAGTGTGGTAACAGTAAATTTAGTAAATGTCAATTTTCCTTACGGCCAAAGGATTTCTAGTTTAAGGATTAGTATTTGGCATCAGTCAAATAGTAGGTAACCTATGCCTTTCACAATGTTAATTAGTTAAATTTCTATAGAAATTAAGTTAGTATTTTTCTTTAAATAAATTGAGTTATCTAAATGAGTTCCGTCCAAAGAGTTTTCTGCAATGGCAGACTAACCACGTGATTACTGAGCACTTAAAACTAAGTACATTTTAAATTTTATTTCATTTCATTTAAACATAAATACCAATACGTAGCTAGTGACCTCTGTACTTAATTATTACAGGTATTCATAGATAGAGACAACTGAATATACTTAAAATTGCCAATTCAAATTTTCACATGGCAAAGAACATGAGGTCTAAAAAAACCTGCAGCAGCAGCAATTTCTTCTTCCGTGCTTGTCTCTGAACAACCAATCAAAGATAGATTATATGACAGAATGTCTTGGAATAGCTGTTTTCGGCTAAGTGTATAGTCTTTCGTATGCTGCCTAAGATAAAATGACAATGCAGAAAAGATAATCACTTACATGTCAAAGGTAACCAATCAAGATTGTTTTTTTTTAATTAAAAAGGTTCATGGAAAAACTACTCACCACTGGCAGTCATCATCATTACAGGTTCCTGTTAAGTCAAAGCGGCAGAAACACTGGTCTGGTTCAATCATATTACTGTATGACACAGAGCTGAGGGGAAGTTTTTCCTTGGTTCGGTAATAAGGACTAAATCTAATGAGAAAGGATGTGGACAGGGCATTACATTTCATAAACATAGCTCAGAAAACCAAGAACCTCATTATTCTTTCTCAACTGAAATTTCTGTAGTTAATATCAAAAAGAATTCTAGAAAACAACAAAGCTAGCAAACAGTAGGGACAAGATACTTAAATAACTCAGATAAGAGCAAACAAAAAAAAATTGTATTTTATACGTCGTTTTTCCACATTGATGAAAAGCTGTAAAAATCTTGTATGCATTACCAGCAACACAAAAGGCTAGCAAAAAAGGTCTAGACTTCATGATGAGTGCTTTGCAATTTTATAATTAAATCACACCTACTTGGCAGCCTCAAAATGTTTAGAAATCTAATGATAGTCTCTTACAAAGTTAAAGATGTAAGAAAGACTGAGTTTTGTGATGGGTGGTTAATGCATTCCTTAGCTCCAGTTGTAGCAAAATTCAAAATCCTCACAAGGATCATTATCTTTCCTAAAATCACATCAACAATCAGCATTCTAGGCTTTAGTCTCACCAGAGGCCAGCAATAGCAATTTCATATAACTGATGAGCTCACGTAAACTCACTATTTTTATAATCTGTATTTTCCCTAAAGGTTAACTCCATTTTTCAGTCCATTATTGAATTTTTTTTCATAATCATCAAATATTTATGAATCTATCTTTAAGAACCAAGTAGCGATCCATTCGACACCCCGTGATCACACAGGTTGATATGTTGTTCCATGTGGGCTTTGTT